CTCAGATTCAGCCTCTTCTTCTGTAAAATACAAGATTATCTACTCCCAGTGGAGAGACTAAAGCAAATGAATGAATGGTGTAAGTCTACCCTAAATAGTATAAATTGCTGTCTACGGTTATGGAACTTTGCTCCTTTTTATTGGTTTGTGTACTACCATCCCCATTTTGTTTTTTCTGTACATTTTACTTTTCATTTTAAAAAACTGAGATCCTCTCCAGGCTCTTATAAAAATTGCTGATAAAAAGTTTTAAAGATAATAGCTACTATTTTTTCCTCATTTAGACACAACAGGGTTTTTTTTGTACTATTGATAGTATTCAGTTTGTTACTCGAAGATGTCCCTTTTCTGGGCCTTGCTAACAATGAAACAAGCTATAACAAAGCTGAATTTCTGATCTGAATTCACAGATGAGTTAGGGTTGATAGTTAGGGTTGGGCTTTTTTACCCCCTAGAATTTTAAAGGCACATTCAACTCCTCATGTCTAGAGAGGATACTGAGACTGAGAGACTCAATAGCCAAACCAAGACTGGAGATCAGGTCTACTTCTCCAAGGCCTTGTTACTGTAATGTCAGCTCACAGTTCGGTTTACTTAGTAAAGGTGGTTAAGAAAAATCATCACGGAATTCTACCGCCTCTGTATTTAACATAGCACTGCTATTTAACTCTCCAGACCTGAAGTCTGAGAGTTTAACTCTTCTTTGGCTGGATCTTCAAATCAAAGCACCTCAACAAAGAACATTCTTGTTGATTCTAGAGAACTGAAAACTGCATGGTTCTTTATTACTGGAGAAGTGTTGGACCAGGGATCACAAAACCTCAGTCCTGGTTGAGAATGGTCTGTCTTGGGACCAGCAGTTAGCATAATGGCTATGTCGCTGAACTCCCATGTAGCCGACCGCAGTTCAAGTCCTGGACCCGGTGCGTTAAACTCACGCTGGGCACGTGTGCGTGCGTGCCCAAGATCCCGAGAGGAGAGTGGAGGAGAAGGGACTGCGGTGTGGCCATCCCCCCTGGGGGGTGATTTCTCGCTTTCTATCTCTCTGTCTCTCTCTGTCTTTCTGGCGAGCGCATACACCCTATAGAAAAAAAAAAAAAAAAGGAGAGAGAGAGAATGGTCTGTCTGCTCAATAAACTTAATGAAAGAAGTCAAGTTTAGTCTCTTTGAGCCAGTACTCACCATTTATACGATGAGAGGGAAGATAAGATGACATCTAGGGGTTTTGCCAGTTCTTTGGTTAGGGAATCTATGAACCCCAAAGGTGTGTGAGAGATTGGTGTTTTCATTTAGTTCTTTTTCAAGAATTATTTAATTTTATTTATTATTATTATTATTATTTTTAAAATTTGCTGTAGGGCACATACGCTCACAAGAGATAGATAGAAAAAGAAAGTGAGAAAGCTGGCTGCCAGGTCCAGGACTTGAACCTTAGTTGGCCATGTGGGAGTCCAGCACCCTAACCACCACACTACCTGCTGGCCCCTTCTTTGACTTCTTGAAGACTTTGCATTAATCAACTACTTTTTTCATGTTATTCTCCTATCTGGGAAACCTTCTATTTGTCTCTGCTTTGTCCAAAAGCTTTCTTTGTCCTTTAAACTCTGGGCTACATTTCACTTCCTCTATGAAGTCACTGTAGCACATACTATTTCTCCTTTTCGGAACTCATTTTTTGCCCTGTGTCTCACTCATCCATTAATCATGGTACATTGCTGTGGAATTTGTCGTTTTTCTATGCTTCATCTCCAGGGAGTAGAAGAACAAGTGTATACTGTGAATATAAGTAGAGTTAGCTATGTGATGTCAGGCTGGGCAGTTTTAAAAAATATGTATTTTATTTTAAAAATATGTAGTACATTTTCAAATAGGTGGATTTTTTTCTCTCCAAAAAAAGGGGAGATACAGTGAAAAAAAAAGTTTTTTTTTTTTTTTTTTTTTAACACCAACATGGTATACTCATAGGTACCTTGTTTTTTCTCTTAAATTTTCTTGGAGATATTTTCATACCAATACAGAGTGAACTTCCTCATGGTTTTAAATGTTGTATGGATGTACCCTAATTTAAGCAGTGATTGGGAATTTTTACTTGGGTAAAGTCCCAAGTGATTTAAAAATTCCAATGACCTTTGAGCCTGATCTGAGAAATGTGCTTTTCATTTCTCTAAAATTTATATTTTCATAGTGCTTTACAGTTTTTAAGTACTTTACATTCTTGAAATGGATCCTTAGAAAACCTCTGTGGGATAGATCATTTCTGTATATGTTTTACTAGGTAAATAGAGAAAGGAAATATCTGTTTAGGATTTTGCTGACTGTGGTGCAAGATTCTTCAATAAATGCTTCCCCGTGGCCTTTTTATGTGCTTTACTGGCAAGTAGAGGGTTTGCCTGAGAAACACAGGCTGCTTTGTCGGGGCTGATAAAAGTCTTCATTACTGCGTTTGTAACCATTTGTGAATTTACTTCCTTTACTTTATTTACTTCCTTAAAACCACTAGAGCATGTAGAAAAGGATCTCCACATAAATGAAGCTTTGAGAAACAAAACAAATTAGAAAGAAGATATGCAAAGGATCTTTTTATAGATTAAAAATGTTTAGTCTTAAAAAAAACCCTAACTGAAATATGTGTATGCTGAACAAAGTGACACGCTTAATGGGATTGAAAGTATTTATTGAGATGACTGTGGGTCCTTAAGTAGTGAAATGGTTAGAGCTGAGAAAACTAGCGACTTTGTTTGTTTGTTTGTTTGCTATAGGGTGTATGCATTGGCCAGAGAGAGAGAGAGAGAGAAATCACCCCCTAGAGGGGATGGCCACACTCCAGTCCCTTCTTCTCCATTCTCCTTTGGGGGTTTTGGGCATGTGCACACATGCGTGCATCGTGTGATTTTCCAGGTGCCTGGTCTGGGTTTCAAACTCTATAATTGGCCATGTGGAATCCAGCTGCCTTAACTTCCACACCGTCTACTAGACCCAAATAGGGATGTTTTGTCCTGGGATTCGAAGTCATCTGGAATTTGGGGACAGCAGATGGTATAATGGTTACGTCACTGGGCTGCCACATAGTTGATCACAGTTTGAGTCCTGGATCCAACGGCCTAAAACTCACACTGGGTTCGCGTGTGTGCATGCGTGCCCAAAATCCCGAAAGGAGAATGGTGGAAAAGGGATTCCCCCCGGGGGGTGATTTCTCGCTTTCTATCTCGCTGTCTCTCTGGTGAGCACACACTCCCTATGGCAAAAATCTCTCTAAATAAAAAAGAAAGTACAGCCTTAGCTGTGTAATGTGACTTATTCAGAACACATAGATTAAATCGGGAAGCAACTTCAGTTTTTTTTTTTTAATTTTTATTTAATGCAGAGGAGATTCTTGTTACTATAATGTGTTGCTTCCTTCATAATTTGATGAACTAAGTAAAGTTGATTAAGAAAATTATCAATGAATTCCACTGTCTTCTGTATTTAACAATAGTGCTATTTAATTCGGTAGTACTGGGTTAGCCCAAACTGCTAATTCAACTACCTGGATATTGAAGTGTGTACTGAGCAGGTAGTGTGGTGGCTAAGGTGCTGGACTCCCACATGGTTGACTGTGATTCATGTCCTGGACCTGGTGGCTTGCTTTCTCACTCTCCCTTTCTCTTTCTCTAGTCAAATTAAAAAACAATAATAACAAATAGAATTAAATAAATAAAAATAGTTCTTTTAAAAAATTCAAGTGTGTACTTAGGTTATTGCAAGATCAGTAATCCTTTATATACACACGTATACATATGCATATATATATTCGATAATAGATATATAATTTTATATGTATATGCACATATATGCATATTATATAGGTACACACACACACACACACACACACACGCTATAGAATGCAAATTTTCTTTCTTGTTTTTGATTGCCAGAGAGAGAGAGATGGAGAGAGAAAGTATTCCCTTAGTGGGCTATAGCCATGTTGAAATTCTTTTCTTACCTTTTTCATCCCATTAGGACTTTAGGTGTATATGCACACACATGCACACACACACACATGTCTTCTGGGGCCAGGACTTGAACAGTAGTTGGCCACATGCACTGTGCTACAGGGCTGGCTTGGAATGCAGGATTTTAAAAACATTTTTGCTATGAGCTTGTGGGGAGAGAGAGAGATAGAAATTACACTTGAACTAATGAAAAAGCACTCCCCACCCCTAATCCCCCATGGGAGGATGGCCACACTGCGGTCCATTCTCCTCCATTCCCCTCTTTGGATTTTGGGCATGCATGCACATGTACACTGCGTGTTCTACAAGCTGCCGGGTCTGGGACTTGAACTTTAACTATGCAGGCATCCACATGGCACCCAGCTGCCCAACCACCATGCCAATGGCTGGCCATGGAATGCAGGTTTTTTTAGCAAAATATTATTAGCCATTTTGGTGAGTCCTAAATATTTTTGCTACTTATTCTCTCTCTCTCTCTCTTTTAAGGCTTTTGCCATAAGGCACATGTGCTTGCCAGAGAGAGACAGAGGGAAAGTGATTTTTCACTTTCCCAGGGGGATGGCCATGCCCCAAATCCCTTTTCCTTTATTCTCCTGTCTAGATTTTGGGTACTCTGCACATGTACCTGGAGTGATTTCCAGGTCTGGGACACGAATCATGGTCAGCCATGTGGGAGTGTCCAGCACCTTAAGCACCATGCCACCTGCTGGTCCCCATCCCGTTTCTTTCTAATGTGGACCAATTAAATGACTACAAGTATTTATCGTAGATCATCCACGGAGCGTAGCTTATAGTAATAGAGGCTTGCTTGAAGTGAACCAAACTGGGGAGGGCATGAATCATGGGCAGTGCGTGGGGCTAGCAGCTGAGCACACGCCCCCACATTTGCTAGTTTATTCTCTTCATTGGTCTCTAAAAGGGCAGAGAGCAGCGTGTTGTGTTCACACAGTGAAGGTGTCGTGTGCTGGTTGGCGGGTGGCTTTACACGGCTCTCTTTTTGCCCCTTAGGTTCTTTCCCATAACCTGTGCACGGTCCTGAAGGTTCCACACGACCCCATTGCCCTTGAAGAGCACTTCAGGGATGATGACGAGGGGCCTGTCTCCAATCAGGGCTACATGCCGTATTTAAACAAGTTCATTTTGGAAAAGGTATGATTTTAATCTTTCTTGCTTCCATTGTTTGATTTGCATGTTTCCAGTGGGCCCTGGAACCCCATGGTGGTGAGTTCACTGAGGAGTTGGGCTGGGAGGCATCAGGAGTTACATGAAGAAGGAAGAAAGAATGAGAACCCGAGGATGCTTCATATTCTTCCTTCTCTTCCATTTTCTTCTACAGCTTGGTGTGATGTTTTTCTAATGTGGTTTGTTCTTTCATAATAAAAACTATGTTTTATATTAATCTATACCCTCTCTGAGTGATTTAACAAAAATTTTTAAAAAATCTGGTTCCACATGTACTGGCAATGGTTGGTAAAATCTGGGTGAGATGGAATAGAATGTGACTACTAAGGTAGTCCTCGATAATTGCCTCTGCTGTAAAGGTACTGTACAGCAAACTTCTCACCCGGACATTTCCGGGTACCATGTGAACCCTTCCTCTGAGGTCTGTTCTGAGTAAGGATGCTGTCAAAACTTGTCAGGTGTTTGGAAGCCAAATAGCCAAATGCAACATATTGATGTTCACTGTCCAGTTTTTCTCTCAGGTTGCATAGTTAAAATCGACACACAAAAGTGTCACGTGAAATGCATGACGGCTCAGCTGCGGTGGCATCCGCTGGTTAGCACTGCTGCTTGGTAGACTGTGATTGTGTGGGAGGCTGGGTTTGATTTTAGCCCGCCCGTAAAGCTGGGTAAGGTGGTGCACACCTCTAGTCCCAGCACTTGGGGAGCTGAGGCATGAGAATCATGACATACGAGAGACCCTCTCTCATTTTTCTGTAAATTGCTATAAGGCTATAAGACTGTGTGCTTGCTGGAGAGGGACAGAGAAAGTGAGAAAATGCCCTTCACAGGGGCAGGGCCACACCATAGTTCCTTTACCTCCATTCTCCTCTTGTGATTTTGGGCATGCACATACATGTGCCTGGCATGTTTTTCAAGCTGCTGGGTCTAGGACTAGATCCACACAGGCAGCCATGTAGGATCCAGCCACTTTATGACACCACTGGCTGGCCCTATGCCTGTTGTTAAATCAGCAATGAATAGAGAAATAGATGAAATTAAAAAGTTTTGGGACCAGCAGATAGCGTAATGGTTATGTCTCTGGACTCCTATAGTCAACCGTGGTTTGAGTCCTGGACCCAGCAGCTTAAAACTCACACCAGGCACATGTGTATGTGTGCCCAAAATCCCATGAGGAGACTGGAGGAGAAGAGAATGCAGCATAGTCATCCCCCTTGGGAGGTGATTTCTTGCTTTTTGTTTCTTTGTCTCTCCAGCAAGCACATGCACCCTATAGCAAAAAATCTTTCTTAAAACAAACAAAAAACGCAAAAGTTTCTTTACTCTTTTCACCTGATTCTTCAGGAGTAACAGCTGCTTGGTGAATATCTTTACAGACCCTTTTAATTTTTATTAATTTAATTTATTTTTGTAATTTATTTCTCCTATGAGAGAGAGAGCTAGAGAGAGAAAGGGGACACAGCCGCTACGGGATCCGCATGCCACGATGCCCCTGTATTCTCAACTAGCCTGGATTATGGGCACATGTGCATATACCTGGCTTGCTCAAGGATGTCCTGGAATGTGAACCCAAAACCTTTCTCATGTGTGTCTAGTCATGTTACCGCTGTGCCACTACCTGGCCTTGTAGTCCTTTTTAAAATTACATGCAAAAATGACATGTTGTTCCCCCTGTAGCTATGCAATACAATAATAGTGCTTTGTTTTTGGCCGGATAGGAGCATACTATGCATACAGTTCTGCAGCTTCTCTCTCTGCTGCACAGTATGCTAGTGTCATTTTTCCATATCATGTACATTAAGTTTAGATAAGAAAATAATCATTAATTCATATAAAAAGTTTGGGAATTCCTAGGTTAGTCCCATGACCTAATGGTTAAATGGGAACCGGATCCTACATGGCCAACAGTGTTTTGAATCCCAGCCCTGGCAGCTTGAAAAACATGCTGGGCATGAATGCATGTGTGCCCAAGATCCTGACAGGATGGAGAAATGGAGAAGGGATTATAGCATGACCACACTGTCATGGTAGCTACTTTTTCTCTCTCCACCCTCCTGTCTGTCTCTGGTGAGCACATGCACCCCTTACAAATAAAAAATAATAATCATAAAGTTTGGAAATTCCTGCTTTTACCTTTTTATGACACCAAACAAATTTTTTGGTATATTTCAAAAATGCCTCTTATAAGTAACAGTGATAAGACATTTAAACAACTCCCTTTTCCTATCATCTAAATACTACAATATTTATATATTTTTGTATGGTTTCTTTAGATTTTTCTCTTTTTTTTTTTTTTTTTGGAGAGGTTTTCACTATAGGGCGTGTGCGCTCGCCAGACAGACAGAGACATAGAGACAGAAAGCAAGAAATCACCCCCCAAGGGGGATGGTCACGCCGCAATCCCTTCTCCTCCATTCTCCTCTTGGGATCTTGGGCACGCACGCACACGCGCCCGGCGTGAGTTTTAAGCCACCGGGTCCGGGATGCGAACTGCGGTCGACTACGCGGGAGTCCAGTGACATAGCCATTACGCCAACTGCTGGTTCCCAAGGTTTCTTTGGATTTTTATTGCTGCTTATAGGTATGATTTTTTTTATAGTTTAGTATTTTTTTTATAATAGAAGAATACAGTCATCAACACTTATAACAATGATTTAAGTTAGTAGTTTGAAATATTCTAAAATGTTGGTTAGGATTCTTTTTAAAGGTCACAAGTGTACATAATATAGTCACAACTTACTTAACAATGGGGATACATTCTGAGAAGCTGTCAGCAGTCTCATCCTGAGACCATCACAGTGCACTTACACAGACTGACTCCACACCTGGACTGTGCGTTGCAGTCTCACAGGATCACTGTGGAATATGAGAACCATCATAAACCGACTTGTCATTATGCAGCATGTGACCGTGTTTTTCAGAAATTTTACAGCAAAGATTGTCAAAATCACAGTGCGTTAATTTGTGTCGCATTCTTGCTATCTCTGTTATTCCGTATCAGCTTCATGAGACAATTTCTTGAACTTCCTTTGTGTCTATGTATGTGTGTTTTATGTGTCATACATGTTCTTAAAATATTTCCCCTGCAGCAATGATAGCATTGCCTTGATCATACTTCTCTCCCCTTTTCATAACTATTTGTTTTTTTAAATTGTGAAATAAAAACTGTATGTGTCTATGGAATACAATATGATGTCTTGATGCAGTTGGCATAATGGCTATATTGCTGGACTCCCACGTAGCTGACCTTGGTTCGAGTCCTGGACCCGGTGGCTTAAACTCATGCCAGGCACAAGTGTGTGTGTGTCCAAGATCCCCCAAATCCCAAAAGGATGGAAAAATGGAGGAGAAGGGATTGTGGCATGAGTATGTCCCATTGGGGAATGCTTTGTTCCTTTCTCTCTTCCCGTCTCTGTCTCTCTCTGGTGAGCACATGCATCCTCTAGCCAAAATAAATAAATACATAAATAAAAATAACAATTTAAAAAGGTAAATGCAAATTATATCCCAATAACCAAGATTTAATCAAATTATATAGACACTGACGTGTGAGGTCTTAAAACTTCCTAGTATGATGCTATACTATTTTCTGGCATTTTTTGTTGTTGCTATTCTATTTATTTTTAGGTAGCTCATTTGTGTTCTATAGATGTATTTTAAGTAAATGAGCAAATATTTGATGGCCTGCCATGTGCATGGTCTTAATCTTAAAAATTATAGACAGTGGAACCAGCAGTTGGCATAATGACTATGACGCTGGATTCCCATGTAGTCGACTGCAGTTCGAGTCCCGGACCCAGTAGCTTAAACTCATGCCGGTTGTGTGTGCAAGTGTGCCCAAGATCCTGAGAGGAGAATGGAGAGGAAGGGATTGTGGTGTGGCCATCTCTCTTGGGGGGTGATTTCTTGCTTTCTGTCTCTCTGTCTTTCTGGTTAGTGTACACGCCCTTTAGGAAAAACCTCTCCAAAAAACATTATAGACAGTAATTACAATGATGTCTTTTTAAAATATTATAGAACGTAATTAGAAAATTAGAAACTGGTAATTGCTTTGTATTTCAGCGCTAGGATTTGTGTGGACTGGACCATTGACTAGAGAGAGGTGATTTGATATTCGGAAGCATTGTACTCTGCTACTGCATTTTGTTCTCCTTGGTGTAGCGCTCTTTAATTTAAAGGTTTAAAAAGTTCTTTGCTTTAGTATTTAGATATTTCAAAGTCTTGTAGCTGCAGGTGAAAATTTAGCAGTATTGAAAAAGTCAAAAATGAGTCACTAAATTTGGAGAAAAACTTACGGAGCAAGTGAGGATGTGATGAAACAGTGAGCCCTTGTTTATTATTGCTTAGCCACCTGGAGTGGACTTTGCCAGAATTGCCATCTAAGTAAAGTGGCCAAGGTTTCCATGGTGTGGGTTTAAATTGAACAAAGATTAGTGCCTTGTTCTGAAACTTGGTTGGGAAAAAATGCCAATAGTGACCAATAAATGTGAACATAAAACTTAGATATTGTCTTTGAAGACATGAAATAACGATGAGACATTTGCAAGGTGGGCTCTCACAAATAATGCTGGCTCATTTGATCCTTATGTTAACCCTGTGGGGCAGAACTGGAATTATCCCCAGGAACTCAAGAGGAAAACATCCTGAAATCCCTTACCTAACAAGGGATAGATGGATTCTGAATGTAAGTCATTTAACTTCTCCCCCAGTGCTCCTTTAACTGTACCATTGAGGAGTTAGTTAATCCCTTTCAGAACTATGAACACTGTGCTTTTTCCAGTTATTTGGATACTTGGGGGCAATATTGGTTGACAGTAGGACTGGAGTGGCTTACAAACCACTCTGATAATCTGGGACTATCTTAGCCATGGTCTCTCAAATTCTTTCTCAAGTTTTTTTTTTTTTTTTTTTTTTTCTGGAGCGGTTTTTGCTATAGGGCGTGTGGGCTCACCAGAAAGACAGACAGA